GTATCTGAACCATAAACCCTTTTAGGGCTCATTTCGTGCCCCAAAGGCAAGGACTATACAGGGGGTTCCGAATATAAAGGTACACTTTTGGGGGGTCCCTTGAAGGAGATTCTACTCTATTTGAACGGGGTACCCGCATTATGGGAAATACCCAATACAGGGCAAAGGGCTTACTATCCCTAAACGGCCTTATATTATAATTAAGGGGGGACTAGTAGTGTAGTACAGGGCCCCTAAACCCTAAACCCTAAACCCTAATTAGACCCTAAACCCTAACCCCCCCCCAAAAGTAGCCTATAGAGGTGGGTAGTAGCGGAACCTATACTTAGAAAATGCAGGACGCAGCGGCGTCTTCGGCGCTTGCCGCAGCGGGTGGAGGCTGGCCTGGGCCCTTCCTTGGCTAACCCTAAACCCTAAACCGTAAACCCTAACCCTAAACCCTAAACCCTAAACCCTAAACCCTAAACCCTAAACCCTAAACCCTAAACCCTAAACCCTAAACCCTGAACCCTCAGTGGAAAAACCTGATTCTCCTAAGCTTATAGCCTTATCGCCCCTACTAAGAACGATTCTATTGAGCTACATACTTTCAGGTACTAATTGCAAGCCCCGTGTCTTGCCTTTGGGCGCCGGGCCCTTGGCTTTGCCTTTGCCTGCAGGGTCCGTTCTTTCGGGGGTCGGGGTTTCGGGCTTGGGGCTGAGGAATAAGGGTTTAGGGTTGGTGGCGATGCTTGCATGACAAGGGCCAGACAACTTGTCTCATACTTGGGCTGCACGAAAGTCATGGACTCTTTTTGTACACTTCTCTACAGAATGAGTATGCTGTCATAGAGACGAAGAACTAAGGGGCACAGATTCCCAATTCCAAGCATCCTGATGACCCCGATGCAGTAACCCCACCTTGTAGGGCGATTAAAGTTAAGGTAGAAGTTGGGTTGTTCCCCTTATACTAGCAGTTCTTAATCGGGATTAGAATTGGGGGGGGGGGGGGGGGGGGGGGGGGGGGGGGACTTTCCTGGCAGAGCTGGAGGGGCAGCTGTGCTTTGGGGAGAGGGGGTTGTCTGGGCTAAGGGTTACTTAATTATCAACCCTGTAAACCCTCAACCCAAACATCCTCTAACCCCTAGACCCTATAAACCTTCCAAACCCAAACGTAATCGTCAACCCATACCTTAACCCTGAACCACTGTCCCATTTGGGTCCAAAAATGGGCCCGAATGGTTCCATTTGCCTACGCAAACATTTCTTATGTCCCCATTGGGTGCCCTTGATTTATCCTCAACCCATACCCTAGACCTTAAATACCTAAAACCCTCAACCCCAACCCCTGTGAACCCTAACCCTAAAGCCTAAACCCTATAGACCCTAACCCCTATAAACCCTAAACAAGCCTCCCGCGGTAGGCGCCGCCGCCGTCTCGTCAGCAGGGGCCTCGGCCGCGAGAGCGACCTGGGGGGAAGCGGGCTCTGGCACTGCGGCCTCGCAAGGCTGGGTTTGGGGTTCGCATGGGGTTTGGGGTTTGGGGTTTGGGGTTTAGGGTTTGGGGTCTGGGGTCTAGGGTTTAGGATTTGGGCCGGGGTTTAGGATTTGGGCCGGGGTTTAGGGTTTGGGGTTTGGGGTTTGGGGTTTGGGGTTTGGGGCGTAGGGTTTGGGGTGTAGGGTTTGGGGTTTGGGGTTTCTGGTTTAGGGTTTGGGGTTTCTGGTGTTGGGCTTGGGGTTGTGGCGGCGAAGGGAAACTTAGTGGCTTCGGTCATTTAGAACTTAAAGGTACAGGGGTCCATGTTCGTGGGTTTAAACCTTCGACTACCCAAGCCAAGAGTCACCTCAGACTAAACCCTAAACCCTAAACCCTAAACCCTAAACCCTAAACCCTAAACCCAACCTCTGCGCCTCAGTGCTGGGAGCCTCAGGAGCTGCCACCGAAACAGCAGCCGGAGGCGCACCCGGGCCTTTCCTCCGCAGGTGCTCTGTTTAGGCGCTTAGGGTTTAGGGTTTAGGGTTTCGGGTTTAGGGTTTAGAGTTTAGGGTTTCGGGTTTAGGGTTTAGGGTGCAGAGGTAGGGCTTTGGGGTTTAGGTTTTAGGCTTTTCGGGTTTAGGGTTTGGGGTTTAGGGGCGTAGGGGTTTTGGTTTTTTTGGGGGGGATTTTGGGCTTTTTGACCATGACGGGGATTTGGGGTTTAGGGTTCTGCTCCTTGAACCAATCAGTTTGGCTGCAGGGTCGGGAGGGTCAGGGCTCATGGTGGAGGGCTACAGGAATGTTACAGGGCTTAGAAGGGCTTAGGCAGGGCTATGTGTGGCCACACAAAGGAGCACCCCCAAAAACCCGCGCATGGCCTCAAGCGTCTCTTTCAAGCTTCTCAAAGGTAGGAGTTTAGATGTGCCGGTGCCGGGAACCTGCCAAAGAACCCTGAAAAAGCCCATCAAGGGGCAGGCAGGCGTCTTCCCCTTGGCCGGAGGGCCCTTGGCTTTGCCTTTGCCTGCAGGATGGATGTATTGTGGCTTTGGGCTTGCCACTCGCGATGAAACGGTTGCCCCGCCTCCCAACTTAAACTCCATGCACCCTAAACTTGGGATTCTCTACCCCATGGTACTACACTCCCACTTGAAGCATTTGGCATGGTATGGGTGGCACCAACATAGGTTGAGGGCGCGATGCGAATGGGAGGGAAACCTGGACGAACATTTATGTATAAATTTGTGGAGAGAAAGAGAGAAAGAGAGAAAGAGCGAAAGAGAGAAAGAGAGAAAGAGAGAAAGAGAGAAAGAGAGAAAGAGAGAAAGAGAGAAAGAGAGAAAGAGAGAAAGAGAGAAAGAGAGAAAGAGAGAAAGAGAGAAAGAGAGAAAGAGAGAAAGAGAGAAAGAGAGAAAGAGAGAAAGAGAGAAAGAGAGAAAGAGAGAAAGAGAGAAAGAGAGAAAGAGAGAAAGAGAGAAAGAGAGAAAGAGAGAAAGAGAGAAAGAGAGAGAGAAAGAGAGAAAGAGAGAAAGAGCTTGACGAGAGCCTCCTGCAGGAGCAGGCGCCGGCTCAGCAGGGACCTCGGCGGCAGCGGCGGCCTCTGGTGCGGCCGCCAACGGCGCAGCGGCCTCCGGCGCGGCAGCCTCCGGCGCGGCGGCCTCGCCAGATGAATTCAGGTGTTCACTTGCTAGAGTGCCACAAGAGCCTTCAAGGGAAAATTGCAGAGAAAACAACTTCGATAAACCACCCCGGCTCCCAAAGGGCCTCGGTGGGAGCTTCGGGCGCAGCCTCCACCGCAGCAGCGGGTGGCGGGCCCGGGCCCTTCCTCTGAGGCTGCTGTGTTCCAGTTGGGGGAGCTGGGGGGTGGGGGAGCTTTTGGCCAGCCAAGGACCGCGCGCGCTTGTGCGAAGCTCCAACACGAAGCCGTCTTGAACCACATGCACTTAAGAACCACGCAGCACTGAAACCAAAGCTTCTTCGTGTGGCATGGGCCTCTTGGGGCTTGGGAACTCCCTTGTTCAGGCCATCCTTCACTCGGTGTCTTGCAAATACGTGTCCTGAACTCTATTACCCGACAAACTCCAAAACCGCCTTGCCATACAAATTACACCAAAAATGTTACGCCAGAGCTGCAGAAGCCACAGTAATCGGGAGGCAAGCGTCTTCCCCTTGGCCGGAGGGCCCTTGGCTTTACCTTTGCCTGCAGGATGAGTGTTCTCTAGCATCTGCGGCTTCCCATGCTCGCCACTGGCGATGAATAGGCTGCCGCACACTTTTTACTGAAACTCCATACACCCAAAACCTGGGATTCTCTACCCCATTCTACTAGACTTCCGGAATATGCATGGGCCACCCGTTGAAAACAACACATGTTTAGCATGTTTAGGGCACGATGCGTACGGGAGGGAAACGTTCTGCATATGTATATATATATTATATATATATATATATATACATACATACATACATATAGGGCTCAAGTAAAACGAGCCACAGTTCCGACATCAAGAAACTTTCTACATGTACACACAGGGACGATGTTGTCGTTGCAAGCTCCCCTTGACGAGAGCCTCCTGCAGGAGCAGGCGCCGGCTCAGCAGGGACCTCCGCGGCCGCGGCGGCCTCTGGTGCGGCCGCCAATGGCGCAGCGGCCTCCGGCGCGGCGGCCTCTGGCGCGGCGGCCTCCGGCGCGGCGGCCTCGCCAGATGAATTCAGGTGTTCACTTGCTAAAGAGTGCCACAAGAGCCTTCAAGGGAAAATTACAGAGAAAACAACTTCGATAAACCACCCCGGCTCCCAAAGGGCCTCGGTGGGAGCTTCGGGCGCAGCCTCCACCGCAGCAGCGGGTGGCGGGCCCGGGCCCTTCCTCTGAGGCTGCTGTGTCCCAGATTCAGCGATGGAGTTGGGGGAGCTGGGGGGGGGGGTGGGGGAGCTTTTGGCCAGCCAAGGACCGCGCGCGCTAGTACAAAGCTCTCACACGAACCACTCTTGAACCACGCAGCACCGAAACCCAAGCTTCTTCGTGTGGCATGGGCCTCTTGGGGCTTGGGAACTCCCTTGTTCAGGCCAGCCTTCACTCGGTTGGTTGCAGCATAAGTGTTACGCCAGACCTGCAGAAGCGACAATAATCGGGAGGCAAGCGTCTTCCCCTTGGCCGGAGGGCCCTTGGCTTTGCCTTTGCCTGCAGGATGAGTGGTCTCTAGCATCTGCGGCTTCCCATGCTCGCTCCGGCTTGCCACTGGCAATGAATAGGCTGCCGCACACTTTTACTGAAACTCCATACACCCTAAACCTGGTACTCTGTATATATATATATATACATACATACATATCGGGCTCAAGTAAAAGGAGCCACAGTTCCGACATCAAGAAACTTTCTACGTGTACACACAGGGACGATGTTGTCGTTGCAAGCTCCCCTTGACGAGAGCCTCCTGCAGGAGCAGGCGCCGGCTCAGCAGGGACCTCGGCGGCCGCGGCGGCCTCTGGTGCGGCCGCCAACGGCGCAGCGGCCTCCGGCGCGGCGGCCTCCGGCGCGGCGGCCTCGCCAGATGAATTCAGGTGTTCACTTGCTAGAGTGCCACAAGAGCCTTCAGGGAAAATTGCAGAGAAAACAACTTCGATAAACCACCCCGGCTCCCAAAGGGCCTCGGTGGGAGCTTCGGGCGCAGCCTCCACCGCAGCAGCGGGTGGCGGGCCCGGGCCCTTCCTCTGAGGCTGCTGTGTCCCAGATTCAGCGATGGAGTTGGGGGAGCTGGGGGGGGGGGTGGGGGAGCTTTTGGCCAGCCAAGGACCGCGCGCGCTAGTACAAAGCTCTCACACGAACCACTCTTGAACCACGCAGCACCGAAACCCAAGCTTCTTCGTGTGGCATGGGCCTCTTGGGGCTTGGGAACTCCCTTGTTCAGGCCATCCTTCACTCGGTTGGTTGCAGCATAAGTGTTACGCCAGACCTGCAGAAGCGACAATAATCGGGAGGCAAGCGTCTTCCCCTTGGCCGGAGGGCCCTTGGCTTTGCCTTTGCCTGCAGGATGAGTGGTCTCTAGCATCTGCGGCTTCCCATGCTCGCTCCGGCTTGCCACTGGCAATGAATAGGCTGCCGCACACTTTTACTGAAACTCCATACACCCTAAACCTGGTACTCTGTATATATATATATATAAAAAAAATACATACATATCGGGCTCAAGTAAAAGGAGCCACAGTTCCGACATCAAGAAACTTTCTACGTGTACACACAGGGACGATGTTGTCGTTGCAAGCTCCCCGTGACGAGAGCCTCCTGCAGGAGCAGGCGCCGGCTCAGCAGGGACCTCGGCGGCAGCGGCGGCCTCTGGTGCGGCCGCCAACGGCGCAGCGGCCTCCGGCGCGGCGGCCTCCGGCGCGGCGGCCTCGCCAGATGAATTCAGGTGTTCACTTGCTAGAGTGCCACAAGAGCCTTCAGGGAAAATTGCAGAGAAAACAACTTCGATAAACCACCCCGGCTCCCAAAGGGCCTCGGTGGGAGCTTCGGGCGCAGCCTCCACCGCAGCAGCGGGTGGCGGGCCCGGGCCCTTCCTCTGAGGCTGCTGTGTTCAAGATTCATCGATGGAGTTGGGGGAGCTGGGGGGTGGGGGGCCAGCCAAGAAGTGCACGCACTAGTGCGAAACTCCAACACGAAGCCCCCTCTTGAATCACTTGCACTCAAGAACCACGCAACACCGAAACCAAAGCTTCTTCGCAAGGCTTGGATTTGGGGTGCCTCGCAGACCCAGCAAGGTGCGGTCTCTGAAAATCCCGTGGCCTTTGGGCGATAGTGTGATCCTTATAATAGCCTTATAATGCCCATACATGCAAGGTTCTGGAACTCCCTGGTTCAGGCCATCTCGGACTCCGCTTCTGCCAGACCTGCAGAAGCCATCGTAATCAGAAGGCAAGCGTCTTCCCCTTGGCCGGAGGTCCCTTGGCTTTGCCTTTGCCTGCAAATTGCGCGGAAGGGTTTTTTGCGGGCGGGTCATGCGTCTATAGAGGGTTGGTATGGCTTCTGAAGTTGGGGTGTTCAGAACTCAGGCCCTGTGTGCTGGGCTCTCATGCTTGCTGTGGCTTGGCTTCCCTCCCCTCTGTGCATAGGGACCCCGAATACCCCATAGACCCCTAAATACGAAAGCCCACCAAAGCACAACACCTTAAGTAATTCCGAAAACCCTACAACCCCAAAACTCTAAACCTCTCAAACATGAAATCCTAAACCCTAGCCGTGCCTCCGCCAGCAGCCGGAGCGGCTGCGCTGTCAGCGGCCTCAGGCGGTGAGGCCTGAAGCGGAAATTTGGGATAGAGCCCGAACTCCGGCCGAAGACGTCCCCTACCGCACAAAAGCCTTCTCCAGCCGATTCTGTTCTTCACAAGTCCTAAACCCTGGTCGGAAGGCTAAACCCTAAATCCTAAATCCTGAACCCTAAAGCAATCTGCGTTCCTGTCAAGCTCCGAAGGTGCGGGTTGCAAGCCCACAGCATGGTGTCTTCTACGAAAGTCATATAGGGGTCGGAATCATTTCTAATCATGTTCCGATATCTTCTTTTAATAACTATACTATGTTAAGCCCATCTAGTCATTCAGGCTCCTACAGTAGTTGTGTAAGCTCGACTTGGCTAGTTTGGGCTTGGGTGGCTCTGGCTTGGTGTCTGGGTGGCTGGGTGGCCTTGGGGTGGGCATGTCTGCAGACTATTGCGCGCATACCAGCCCGCGACCTCGCCGAGCGCACCCTAAACCCTAAACCCTAAACCCTAAACCCTAAACCCTAAACCCTAAACCCTGAACCCTGAACCCTAAACCCTAAACCCTAAACCCTACACTGCCAAAGTGCAGCCAAGGAAGCCCCGGAGTCCTCCACTGCTGGAGCCACCTCGGGCGTGGCCTCCGCCGCGGGGGGCGCGCCCGGGCCTTTCCTTGGAGTGAGCAGTGGCATTCACAGGGTTTAGGGTTTAGGGTTTAGGGTTTAGGGTTTAGGGTTTAGGGTTTAGGGTTTAGGGTTTAGGGTTTAGGAATAAAAAGGGTACCCTTTTTGGTTTACAAGGGCTTGTAGGGGAGCCTAAACACCAACAAGAGAGGAATCAGGGCCTGCTCTGGGTCCTAGACAGGGTTCACGGCTTTAAGGTTAAGGGTTCAGGGTTTAGGGTTTAGGGTTCAGGGTTTAGGGTTTAGGGTTTAGGGTTTAGGGTTTAGGGTTTAGGGTTTAGGGTTTAGGGTTTAGGGCCTGATATTCAAGGCTCGCGATTAGGTTCAGAACAAATAGGACTCAAGATTTGTGGGTTTCGAGGCTTGGAGGGGTTGAGAGTCCAGAAAATGTAGAGGGTCAACCTAGGATGTAGATTAAACCCTAAACCCTAAACCCCATAAACCCTACAAACCCTACAAACCCTATAAACCCTATGAAACCCATAAACCCGATAAACCCTATAAACCCTATAAACCCTATAAACCCTATAAACCCTATAAACCCTATAAACCCTATAAACCCTATAAATCCTATAAACTTTATAAGCCCTACAAACGCTATAAACCCTATAAACCCTATAAACCCTATAAACTTTATAAGCCCTATAAACGCTATAAACCCTATAAACCCTATAAACCCTATAAACCCTTAACCATGGCAGTCTAAGGCGGCTGTAAGCCTTGAGGTTTGTAGAATTTGGGATTTAGGGCTTGAAGTTTGGGGTTCGGGGCTTAGCGTTTAGGGCTTCGTTTCTCCCTGGGCTGCCAAAATAAGGGCTACAAAAGTGGAACGAGGAAGCTCCCAACCGAAACCGGTTTAGGGTTTAGGGTTTAGGGTTGAGGGTTGAGGGTTTAGGGTTTGGGGTTAGGGTTTACGGTTTAGGGTTTAGGCCTAAACCCTACATACCACGCACACTGAATGGAAAGCCAGCGTCTTGCCCTTGGCTGGTGAGCCCTTGGCTTTGCCTTTGCCTGTTTGTTGGCGTTTAGGGGTGTAGGGTTTTAGGGGGAGTCTGAATTAGGGCTGGGGAATCTGAATTCCCTGAACCCTAAACCCTAAACCCTAACCCCTAAACCCCTAAACCCCTTCTTGAGAACTGCAATAAGCTCGAAGCTGCCTCAAGGGGTTCGACCTCAAACCCCAAAGTATGTAAAGTAATGGTCCTTTTATGGGTTTGGGGGCTAGTAAGATGTTGTTTTTTTGCATACGCTTGGGGGTGCAGGTAAGCCCTAAACCGAAACCCGAAACCCTAAACCCCAGTAGCTTTCGGCGAGCCAGTTGGAGGAATTCAGAGCAGGGTCCCCAAGGAAAACCAGGTGGGATCCGGAAGTGCAAATCTCATAGGCTTCCCGACAACACCCCCCGACCCCCCCATGCAGGGTTTAGGGTTTCGGGTTTCGGGTTTAGGGTTTAGGGCCACTACTGCCCCTCCCCCGAGCCCCCCCCCCCCCCCCCCCCAATTCCCCAATAACCTTAATCAGGCTTTATTATCCCGAAAAAGCTTGGGGGGGAAACCTAGGGGGCTAGTATAGAGGGGACTAGAAGGGGAACCCATGAAAATCTGGTTGAGTTAGGGGTTAGGGCTCGGGGTTTCGGGTTTAGGGGTTTGGGGTTTAGGGCTGACAGTGGTTTGGGTTTTATAGGAATTTAGGGGTTCATAGAGTTTAGGGTTTGGGGTTTATAGGGCTTGGGCTTTACAGAGCTGAGGGTTCAAAGGCCAATGCCACCACGGCTCCACTGGAAAAGGGGCAAAGCCCCTTCGAGGCTGTATGGTGCTGTTGTGAGCATGCACGGCTAAACGGAAGGCGTCCTCGGGCGAAACAGCATCCAACTCTTTCATCAAGCGCTTAGTGGTGGCCTTCAGCTTCTGGATGAGCCTCTCTTCAGGGCCCATCAGCCAGTGCGCCTCAGCCGGTGTGACCGAATGTCCCACATCCGAGCGCCCAAGAAAGTAGCTGAACTTCTTTCTGGTTCAGCCCTCGCGCATCCGAACCCATGGACCGCGCCCGTCCCATACCCCAAAGCCGAAACCCTGAATCCAAAAAGACTGCAAGCTTGAACGCTTGAACAAGAGCCCTAAAACCCCAGAAGTCCTTATCTCCAGAGCCTGAACGGCCGGGCGATTACCCTACAATACCACGTCCTGCGCCCTGAAACCCAAAAAAGTTAAACCCTAAACCCTATCAATGCAAACCCTACTCCCCACAAAAACCCTAAACCCTAAACCCTCAACCCTAAACCCAAAACCCTTTGCTTCCCTGAACGACCCACGGGCCTGCCGCTGGCGGCGCCTGGGCGCCTGCGCCATCGGCCGCAGCCTCAGGCGCAGCGGCCTCGACCACAACCTCTATTTTGGGTTTCGGGTTTATAGGGTTTAGGGTTCAATGAGGGTTCAGGGTTCATGCTTTACGGTTTCGGGTTTAGGGTGTAGAGTTTAGGTATAACCCGGGAAGCCCCCAGACCCCTCAAGGGCCCCTTTAGGCTTCAGGGTTATAGGCTTGAAGGTTTAGGGTTATAGGTTTAAAGGTTTAGGTACAACTCAGGAAGCCCGATACAAAGGTATGGGGCTTGCAAGGCTGTGTAGGGGGGCGGGCCTGCAAGTGGCCTGGCTTTGCGCTCAGGGCAGGTCTCATCGTAAGTCCACTGATCCGCTGATGCCTTTTGCTTCTGCACCCATAGCACCGCATGCAAGTGGTCGATCGAGAGAGAGGGGAGGGGAAGAGGGAGACACACAGGGCTTCTAGCTTGTGGTGGCTATGATATACAAATACATACATTTTCCGAAGCCATACCGTGAATCGACTGTACGTCAACTTCAAGACACGGCGTTGGCGCAGCAAAAAGGAGGCTTACCCTCTGCAGACGCTTTAGAACTGTCTTTGCAAACCTGCATTATAGATGAGATTATCTTGTACCGGGGTTTCTTCATAAGATATTCTGCCAAGCGTCTCTTCCCACACAAACTTCTTTGCATGGTGTATCCAAGTTGGACAAATACATACATATAAATAGAAAATACATGAACATAAACATAAGCATAAATATAAATATAAACAAAAAATAAAAAAAATAAACGCATAAATAAACAAATAAATAAATAAATAAATATATACATATATATAAATATAAATATACATATAAATATAAATATAAGTATATGTATACATATAACAACAAATATAAAAACAATCACAAATAAATAACCAAAAGAATGGAAAAAGATAAATCTAAATACATGAATAAATATGTGTGTATACATATGTACATACATAAATACATACATATATACTGCTTGCAGAGTTCATAGGGCACGCTGTTTATAGGGCTTATAGGACTTAAGATGCTTCTGCGGCCTGCAAGGAGCTCATGAAACCCCAAACCCTAAACCCTAAACCCTAAACCCTAAACCCTAAACCCTAAACCCTAAACCCTAAACCCTGAACCCTGAACCCTGAACCCTAAACCTAAGCTCCTGCCTGCGCAGCCGCCAGCGCCACCGGGTGCAGCGCACTCTCCTTGACCGAGCTTTCCCTAAGGGTCCATGTACCAAAGGGTTCAGGGTTTAGGGTTTAGGGCTTAGGGTGTAGGGTGTAGGGTTTAGGGTTTAGGGTTCACCCTAAGGGTCCATGTACCAATAGGGAATACTTGGGCCTCGGAGTACCTTTTACACAGGGACCTTGGGGCCCAAGCCTATAATAATAAGGTTACGGCGCGGTTAACGATCCCGTGAAAAAAAGACATTGTGTTGAAGGGTTTGAAGTCGAAAACCTCGGTTTTTTCGATGTTTCCGTGCTGGGGTGCTCCGTAGCGCATGTCCGAAAACCCCATTTTCACCGAGGGTTTTGATAATTTTGGCCGAATCCACTGTAAATAGCAGTGTTTTCGTGCGTTCACGATTTTTGGAGTTTCAGAAGTCGCTTTATTGGAGAAGTGTTTTTCTCGGAAATAGTGGTATTTACAGCGAATTTGCATGTTAAGACAGGTTTTGTGAGACGTTTATTTTTGAAAGCCCTTCGGTGACACGTTTCTGGACGAGTAGACAAGCAAGGGCTCAAGGCTGTCTTCGTGTATGGAAATGTTGGTATTTGCAGCGAATTCGGCAGTTCAGTATACTTCAGTGTTATAGTTTCGGGCTTGCAGTGCGTGGTGTATGGTTCAGGGTACATGGGCATAACGGTGAAGCCTCAACCGTGCACTCGAAAGCCTAAACTCTGAATTCGAGAGAGTCGAATTAGAATTGAGGTATTTGGGCTTGCAGGACACTGTTGAGGTTTGCCAAGAGCAGAGCTTGGGGCGTGCACTGTCGTGAATATTTCAGGGTATAGAGGCAGGAGGGTGTCAGGGAAAACTCGAAAGCTTAAACCGAAGAAGCCGAAACAGGGTTTAGGGTTTAGGGGTGAGGCTTCAGGGCTTAGGGCTCAGGGCTTAGGGCTACGCAGATCAAACGAGCCATCTGCTGGCAACGGAACCATCTCTGCGGAGACATAAGCATCCCAAAAGCGTTGGTCCATGTGAGCAACAAAATCGGTGGCCTGATGGGGAGACCAGATACAGGTCCGAAACAACGCTCCACACGCTGGAGAAGAGCCCAGGGCGAGGCACGGAAGCTTCCTGGTTGTGCACGAAGACGAGCAAAAGCCACTGCGGACAAGCAGCTGCTGGAAAGAAGCAGATGCTCCCATGGCACACCGCCCCGCCGGGAGTCCGTCAGACTGGCTCGCAAGGCCATGTACTCAGCAAGTCCAGCTGGAAAGGGCGTCGTCAGGACTTCGATGTGAGCAAGAACATCTTCATCACTGAAGTTCACAAGCCAGGGCAGGCAGGTCGCAACATCTTCGCGAAGGAGCAGCGCAAGGCAGAGCGAGATAGCCAGCCAGGCGAGAACCATGGCCAGCACACCTGGAAGCCCACACGGCTGCCGAAATCAGTGCTTTCCTGACACGCTGTCCAAATGTCGTAATCATCCCCCGCCCCCCGCCCCCCCCCCCCCGCCCCCCCCCCCCCCCGCCCCCCCCCCCCCCGTGGGTGGCTTAAATAGGGTCTATTTGGAAGCTGGGACTCGGGTTTTCTTATAGCCATACACGTTTCCACGAGGGTACGCTGCTGTCACGTCAGTCGTACTATGGAGGCCTCAGGAACAAGAACCAGGTAGTTCCTCTTTTCTCTTCTCTTTTTCTCCTCAATCCTAAAGTCGAAGGCTCTCGTGAGGAGAAGAGAAGGGAGAGAAGGAGGGAAAGATAAGAGGAACACGATTTTCATGGGAAGAGCCAAGAAAAGAATAGAAGAGAGATAAAACAAGGCGCAAAGAAGATGGTACTCTTCTTTATCTATCCTCTCTCCCTTATCTCTCCGTTCCCTCTGTCTTTTCGAAATGAGAAAAACAAAAAGAAAGATGAAAAGAAGAAGGGTTAGGAAAAGAGCCGAAGAGATAGGCCGAAAAGAGGGGTATGGTGAAGTACGGCAAAGGTCCACGCACAAGGAGTCACCTTCTGCTTACCCTTCCACTGCTTGATTTTACAAGCTCCTTTCTTGTGTTTTATCAGTTAAAATTAAAAGGAAACAGAAGGAGAGAAGGGAAAGGGAAGTGAGAGAGGAGAGACAACAAGGAGGCCATTTTAATTTCCTGTGAGTTATCAAAAGGAATGCAATATTATGGGAAGAGCAATGGAAAAAAAGAGTGGAAGAGAAATTAAGACAGGAGAGGGAGGTGCAAAAATAAGGCAAAGAGAAGATGGTGCCGTTTTCATCTCACCTCTCGTTCTTATCTTCCTCTTCTCTGGTTCTTTTCCCTGTGAAATAAAAAAACAAGAGGAAGGACAATGAACATATAAAGGAACCCGTTTTCGTTTTCCGTTTGGGCACAAGGAAAAAAAACAGAGGCGATAGGGCGAGAGGAGGGGTTTGCTGAAGCATGGGGAGGGTGTACGGGCAAGGGGCCAACTCCGCCCACTTCCCCCATCCATTGAAAGAGGAAAAGGAACAGGGCCTCCATTCCCCTCTTATTCTTCCTTTCTTGCGTTTTTGTCGTTTAGAAGGGAACAGGAGAAGAGGAGGGAGAGAGAAGGAGAGAGGAGACATAAAAAGGGTTGCATTTTTAATGGGAAGAGCAAAGAAAAGACCAGAAGAGAGATGATGGGAGAAGAGGGGGAGACAAAACAAGGCGCACAGAAAATGGGCAGATAAGAAGAGAGGAAAGGGAATGACCAAGTACAATGAGGAGTTCTTCAATTTCCCTCCCTATCTCTTATGTTACTTTTCCTTCTTGTGGGGTGTCCCTTTTTCTCTTGAAGATGCAGAAAACGATTGAAAAGGACACCCGTTCCATCGCCCATATGTAGGGAAAAAGAGAGAGAATCATGAGCATCAGCTGGGCTTGCTGCCAATCCAACATGGGCGTCCCTTTTAATCGCATTCTGTGTCCTTTTTTCTCGCTTGAAGATGCAGAAAACGATCCAAAAGCACATCTGTTGGAGGAAGAGAGAAGGAGAGAGGAGAGATACCAAGGATTGCATATTTAATGGGAAGAGCAAGGAAGAGAATAGAAGACAGATGAATAGAGAAGATGGCGCTCTTCTTTATCTATTCTCTCTCCCTTGTTTCTCCCTTCCCTCTTTCTTTTCGAAATGAGAAAAACAAAAAGGAAGAACTATGAGAAGGAGAAGAGTAAGGAAAGGAACAGAAGAGATAGGCCGAGAGGATGAATATGATGGAGTATTATGGAAAGGCTCACGCGCAAGGAGTCACCCTCTGCTTACCTTTTCACTGCTTTATCATATGAGTTCCTTTCTTGTGTTTTATCAGTTAAAAGGAAGCGGAAGAAGAGAAGGGAAAGGGAAGTGAGAGAGGAAAGATAACAAGGATGCTATGTTTCCCGAAGCGTGCTGCAAGGAATAGAAGAGACAGGAAGCAAGGAGACGGAATCACAAAATAAGGCGCAAAGCTGTACATATCATCTCTCCCTTGTCTCTCCCTATTCCCTTTCGAACTAGAAAAAACCATTCTTGCTTTTCACAGATAGGTTCCCTCTCTCCTCTTCAGGAAATCCCCTTTCCCTTATGTTGCTTTTTGAAGCGAATAAGAAAAATAGCAGATAAGAAGAGAGGAAAGGGTCAATTTCCCTCCCTATCTCTTATGTTGCTTTTCCTTCTTGTGGGGTGTCCCTGTTTCTCTTGAAGATGCAGAAAACGATTGAAAAGGACACCCGTTCCATCGCCCATGTGTAGGGAAAGAGAGAGAATCATGAGCATCAGCTGGGCTTGCTGCCAATCCAACATGGGCGTCCCTTTTAATCGCAGTCTGTGTCCTTTTTTCTCGCTTGAAGATGCAGAAAACGATCCAAAAGCACATCTGTTGGAGGAAGAGAGAAGGAGAGAGGAGAGATACCAAGGATTGCATATTTAATGGGAAGAGCAAGGAAGAGAATAGAAGACAGATGAATAGAGAAGAGGGAGAGACAAAACAAGGCGCAGAGAAGATGGCACTCTTCTTTATCTATTCTCTCTCCCTTGTTTCTCCCTTCCCTCTTTCTTTTCGAAATGAGAAAAACAAAAAGGAAGAACTATGAGAAGGAGAAGAGTAAGGAAAGGAACAGAAGAGATAGGCCGAGAGGATGAATATGATGGAGTATTATGGAAAGGCTCACGCGCAAGGAGTCACCCTCTGCTTACCTTTCCACTGCTTTATCATATGAGTTCCTTTCTTGTGTTTTATCAGCAGAAGAGAAGGGAAAAGCAAAAATTGAGCCCAACATTTTAGGACCAGGGCTTGCGATCTGACTCTTTGGAGCAAAAATCGATTCCAAAATCTTAGGGACCAGGGCTTGCGATGTTACTCTTTGGAGCAAGAAATGAGCCCAAAATCTTAAAGACCGGGGCTTGCGATTTCACCTTTTGGAGCAAATACTGGGCCCAAAATCTTAGGGACCAGGGCTTGCGATTTGACTCTTTGGAGCAAAAACTGGGCCCAAAATCTTAGGGACCAGGGCTTGCGACGTTACTCTTTGGAGCAAAAACTGGGCCCCAAATCTTAGGGACCAGGGCTTGCGATGTCACTCTTTGGAGCAAAAATTGAACCCAAAATCTTAGGGACCAGGACTTGCGATGTCACTCTTTGGAGCAAAAACTGGGCCCCCAATCTTAGGGACCAGAGCTTGCGATGTCACTCTTTGGAGCAAAAATTGAACCCAAAATCTTAGGGACCAGGGCTTGCGATTTGACTCTTCGGAGCAAAAACTGGGCCCCAAATCTTAGGGACCAGGGCTTGCGATGTTACTCTTTGGAGCAAAGATTGAACCCAAAATCTTAGGGACCAGGGCTTGCGATTTGACCCTTTGGAGCAAAAACTGGGCCCAAAATCTTAGGGACCAGGGCTTGCGATTTGACTCTTTGGAGCAACTGGGCCCAAGATCTTAGGGACCAGGGCTTGCGATGTCACTCTTTTGGGCAAGAAATGAGCCCAAAATCTTAGGGAGCAGGGCTTGCGATTTGACCCTTTGGAGCAAAAACTGTGCCCCAAATCTTAGGGACCAGGGCTTGCGGTTTGACTCTGTGGAGCAAAAATTGAACCCGAAATCTTCGGGACCAGGGCTTGCGATTTGACTCTTCGGAGCAAGAAATGAGCCCAAAATCTTAAGGACCAGGGCTTGCTTTGGAGCAAAAAACTGAGTCCAAAATCTTAGGGACCAGGGCTTGCGATTTGACTCTTTGGAGCAAAAACTGGGCCCCAAATAATAGGGACCAGGGCTTGCGATGTTACTCTTTGGGGCAAGAAATGAGCCCAAAATCTTAGGGACCAGGGCTTGCGATGTTATTCTTTGGGGCAAGAAATGAGCTCAAAATCTTAGGGACCAGGGCTTGCGATGTCACTTTTTGGAGCAAAAACTGTGCCCTAGTATTGGGGGGAGGAGGGCTCGTGATTTAGTATTGGGAGGAGGCCCGGGCTCGTAAATTAGTATTGGGGGGAGGCCCGGGCTCGTGATTTAGTATTGCGGGAGGCCCGGGCTCGTGATTTAGTATTGGGGGGAGGCCCGGGCTCGTGATTTAGTATTGGGGGGAGGCCCGGCCTCGTAATTTGGAGGCCCGGGCTCGTGATTTAGCCCGGGCTCGTGATTTAGTATTGGGGGGAGGCCCGGGCTCGTGATTTAGTATTGCGGGAAGGCCCGGGCTCGTAATTTAGTATTGGGGGGAGGCCCGGGCTCGTGATTTAGTATTGGGGGGAGGCCCGGGCTCGTGGTTTAGTATTGGGGGGAGGAGGATGCCCCAGCCCCCACCCCCCATTTGGAAATAAATGAATTACTTGAATTAATTGAAATAATTGAATTAATTCAATTAATTCAATTAATTGATTTATTTCCAAAGGGGAGGTGGAATTAATTTAATTAATTGAATTAATTCAATTATTTCAATTAATTCAAGTAATTCATTTATTTCCAAATGGGGGGGATTCCCCAGCCCCCACCCCCCCCCTTTGGAAATAAATGAATTAATTCAATTAATTGAATTATTGAATTAATTGAATTAATTCAATGAATTCAATTAATTCATTTATTTCCAAAGGGGAGGTGGAATTAATTGAATTAATTGAATTAATTCAATTATTTCAATTAATTCAATTAATTCAATTAATTCATTTATTTCCAAATGGGGGGGATTCCCCAGCCCCCACCCCCCCCCCTTTGGAAATAAATGAATTAATTGAATTACTTGAATTAATTGAATTAATTGAATTTCAATTAATTCAATTAATTCATTTATTTCCAAAGGGGAGGTGGAATTAATTGAATTAGTTGAATTAATTCAATTATTTCAATTAATTCAATTAATTCAATTAATTCATTTATTTCCAAAGGGGGGGGAGGGGTGGGGGCTGGGGAATCCCCCCATTTGGAAA